TTACCTTTATAAGATCGCCTTGCATCAATCTAAACAAATTATTAGGAGAAATTAGAAATTTAACAATATTAAACTCTCCAAAAGTAATTTACTTCATTTTTTACAAACTTGAAAATATATTAATACATATTATAATAAAATTACTTAGAACACAAAGTGTCAATGTTCAATTATGAGATAAACAATCACTATTAGAAAAATAGCCTTTACCAACGAAATTTTTTGTCGATAAAGGTCATTTTTTGGTCGGTAGTAACAGTAGTGATGGATTTACTGACAAAAAATTTTATCAATACTAGCTAAGTCGATAATACTATTCCGTCAATAACAAACAAAATCCATTGGTAATATTTATTTTTTAATTATATTTAATATATTTTATTTATAATTTATATCATTTTTATTTTATTTTATTTTTAATTTATTTTAAAAGTAATTACATGAATATTAAATATACATAAATAGGAAAAATGAATAAACAAAATGCTCCATTTTATTTATAAAAAAATGTAAAATATTTACAAAATTGTTTATGAAATATATTAAATAAAAATATAAAAAATCCAATTTGGGCATTAGCTAATATTTAAGTCCCAAATAAATAGTAGATATTGATGTTCATCTCACAATCTCAATAGGCACCTACCAAGCTCTTCTCTAGTATGAAAATCAAAGACATGGACCCACATATCTTTTCCTCCAACACTGAACTTATTGCCATGCTTTGCTTCTAATGAAGCTAATTCCACATTGCATGGCATGTTGTAGCTTTTCAACAATCCAAAACTAATAAGGCCAAATACAAATGTTAGCAGCCATTGGCGAAAGAATAAAGTTTACAGAAGCTATCCAACTAAAGACTTACTGGTTTGCATCCCAAAGCTTAATAGTAGATCCATCGGTAGTGGTTGCAACCATCCTAACTCACTTCAGCCCTGGTGACAAGTGATTTGGTCTCAAGTGTTTGAACAATTTTGCCACTTCTTAGATCCCACAACTTACACGCAAACAGGATTTAGCGGTAACAAGGTTCAGGAAGTCATATAGACAACCATATAATCATGTGAAATCACTGCTTCAGTGATAAAGACACAACATGGATGTCTTAACCACAAATTTATTTTTTTAAAATTTTAATAAACCAATGCATCTAAGGTTTGACCAAAACATCCAACATGGAAGACATGATTGTCAATATATACACAGAACATTTTCCCAATAACGTAAACTCAAATGTCTCACTTTTTCTTTACTTTCCTAATTCTATCAAGTATATATGAAAACTTAGAAATTCCCACACGGCACGATATTAAAAAAATTTATAAAGTCAACCACCAAATGTTGGCACCAGCATTATTTTTACCCAAGTAAAATGAACCCAAGAAATGTTTTATAACTAGTATGCATAACTTGCAAAATGCCCTAAAACTTCCATGCTTGACTTTTAAACTTAAGAAACAATATGCATCCATTACACAAGCGCAGAATAGTCTACCTATTAGACATTTTATCTCAAAATCCTCGAGTGACGCACACTAATTCAAAACATATATGATACTTGTCACAAATGAACTATCTTATGGCAACCAATTGTAGAAAAAAAAGTAAAGGTGTTATCAGTTAAACACAGTCATACTTAACACCATTAGTTTTAGTGCAAGAACTTAAAATCATTTGGTCACTGTAAATCCATGCAACAGTTGTAATTGAACCAAGAGAATTATCCACTTGTCTCAAAGTTGCATCTAGCCGATTCAAATCAAATATTCGAAGAATTTTCTCAACTCCACCAGTAAGTAGAAAGTGTGTATTCTGTACAAATATAAATTATTTAATTTTTATAATTATTATTAAAATTTAACAAATATTAAATATAAAATATCCATAAAAACATATATAAATCTTAAAACCAACATAAATCTTACAAATATAAAAGTTAATAAATCTATAAAAAAAAAAAAAACCCAACAAATCTCAACAATACTCTACAACTAAAAAAAAATTACTCAACAAATAAAAAAAATTATTCAACAATACTGAAAAAAAAAAACCTAAAAAAATTAACAATACTCAACGTTAATATTCAACAAAAAAATCTAATAAAAATAAACTAAAAATTTAACCCAACTAAAACTCAACAAATATATAATTAAAAACCCAATAAATCTCAACAAATTTATAACAAAAAATTAATAATAAACTCAACAAAAATACTAAACAAAACTATTGAAAAAGGAACATTTAAATAAACATTACCAATTGACGAAAGAGGGTTTGGTACTGGTTGGCCAATGACAGAACACGGTGGGCAGAGGAGAGACATGAAAGGTAGAGAGGGAAGGAGAGAGTGGGAGAGAGAGAGAGAGGGATTAGGGATTAGGGATTTGAGGGGTTTTGTTTTTGTTTTTTTTTCTTTTTTGGTTTATCTGATTTTGGAAAAGAAAGATTCAAATTAAAGCATGTTTTTTCGACGAAAATACAGACGAAAATTCCGTCGACGTTGTGCAATTTTTTTTTTTTTTTTGCAAATTCTTTTTATTAACAAAAATTTTTCATCGATAAAAAATTACCTACAGATTGCAAATGAAAAATTTCGTCTATAAAATACGTGACAATTAGCGTCAATTTCTCACCTACAGATTATTGACAGAATTAATTTCGTTAGTAATCCGTCGATATTTCATCAGTAAATATCAAATTTTTTACCACAATCTGTTGATATGTCATCGATAATCTGTTGATAATTACCGACAAAAAAATTTTATAATTAAAAATTTGTCAGTGATAATTTTAATTCTGATAATGAATAAAAATTTTCTTGTATTAGCCTTAATTTAACGGGGACAAATATGATCACAAAAATTTTCAATGCTCTCAAAACTTTAAGAAAAAAATTTTTATAATAAACCCAAATGAAATTTAAGAACTCAGCCGGGGCAACAAGCCCACATGTTTCTATGGAGATCCGTCCCTATATCAGTATATCAGTACAAGAAGAAGTTAACTTTGCTGGGATTTAATTATGAAAACATACCCATCTTCCAAAACAACAATTCCCCACCAACATTTTCAAAAACAAAAGATTCCAAAACCAAAGTGATCCACCAAAATAACGAAGAAACTGAGAAGTTTCCAAAAGCTGAACACATGATAATGACCTTTTCTTGAGGGGCAAAATCATGAGGGGATGGGATCATGAGAACCATGGCCGCCACCGATCTACAAATTTGCAAATAAAGTAAAATATACGTGAGTTCATCATACACAAGTACACAGTGTGCAGCAACATATATAGAAAATTAGAGAGAATGTTTCTCCCTGATCGAGCATTATAGCTTTTTCCATAAATGCAGGTTCAAATTTAAAGATTTATGCATTTCAAATGTCTAAGAAATTGACACTCATCCACTGACATACCAAAAGTCTTTGGAGTATTATTAGGAATGCCAACTTCAATCACTTGAAAGAAAACAGAAAGTATCTTAAGGCAAAAAGAACAGGAAAACAGTCAATATGACCCCTTTGGTCAAGGAATCAATAAAACAATTAGTAAGATTGAAGAATGAAGGGAAATTAAAGGGCTAATTCAACCTTCTTAAAGATGATCAATATTTTACCATGTGGTTGACAAAATAATAATAAATAAATGTCATTTTTAATGCATATATGATGGATAGAATAGTATGATAATTATTTTATATTATATTTGATTTGTATTAATTAAAAATGATAGGATTATATGAAAGATTATTATCCTTTTGGTATATGATGATTCAATTCTTTCAAAATAAAAAGAATTTTTTTTAATTTATAAGATTAAATTTAAATGTTTTATTATACCTTTAAAAATTATATTAATAATTTAAAATTGTATAAATTTTAAGGAAATATAATTTTAATCAATAAATAAATTACCCTATCTTAATATTTGCATATACCAAACATAAGATAGGATTGTATTATTTAATTTAATAATATTCATGATATCATCTTATCTTATTTTATCATAATTTTGTGTATCTAACATGATAAAAAAATCCAAAACAAAAGATTTTATTCAAGGAAACTAAAAGTTCTTTCAAGCATACTAGATCAGTTATCAAATAAGGTGTGAGATGTATTTTCTTACAGAATTTTAACTTGTATCAATGACTTGAATATTGGCAGTTTTAAATTGTGGAAAACCATTATCAGAACATACATCACATGAAGGAAAGGGATCAAGAGACCAGGGCTACCACCAACCTACAAATTTGTAAATAAAGTAATATATGTAAGTTCATCTTACATGAGTGCACGGTGTGCAGCAACATATATTAATAATTAGAGAGAATGCTCATTGGAATGGTGCAAGCTTAGAAAAAGGGTAAAATAAGGTATATTGAAAGTTTGATGGTGATCGGTAACGACGATATATCTAAGTCTTTAAGATTCGGTTTTCTAAGATTTTTGTGAAAATGAGGAGTATTTTTGTAAAATTACAACCAGTCTCAGTAAATGTTAGGATAATTCTGTCATTGGCATGTGGCAGTTGATTGCTAAAGAAGGCACCTGCAGCGGCGATTGTGGACCGAAATCTGGAGAAAGAAGAGAGAGAGGATTGGACAAAAGAGCGAGCGTAAAAAGAAAAAAAAAAAAAGATTTTCTGTCCTATATACTAGTACAAAACTGATGCGCTTCGGAAAAAGAGAAAACAAAAATAGAAGGAGAAAGAAACAAGGAAACGAAAGGGTCGAATCTAACCCCACCACGTCTAGTTCATGTTTGGGCCTTTAATTTTGTTTTGACCCCATTGCAAAAGATAGTAAGTTATAATTTATTCTTATTATTATTATTATTATTATTTATAGTATTCTTTAATTATTTGAAAATTTAAAATATGATAAGAAATTTACTCTAAAATTAAAATATAATGGTAATATTGCATTAGTTAAAAAATTAATAGTAAATTTGGATACCTCAGTGGTAAATTTATAACTTAGACCATATTATTTATTCTAGTATAATTATCAAATGGGTACAGATATCATATTATTTATACTAGTATAATTATCTAATCGGTACAGATATTTCCTTGATCCAGAACTTCAAGGACCAAAGGATAGCAAATTAAGTGCAAATCATCTCATTTCATTTCCATCAATAAAAAAGCAGACCACGGTCTGCATGATACACTTGCTAATTAAACCACAAATCTTCATGTCACTAATAGCTAATCAGTTCTTGCAATCTCTGACATACCCTTGTAGTCTCTACACCAACTCTAGAAATTATAGCCTGCAATTTGACAAATGAAATTTAGGTTTTCAGTTAAAGAAAAAAAAAAACTAGTATAAAATAAATAATTTATTTGAATAATTACTCACCCGAGCATGAAGGGTGTGAAAAATCTTGCCACCCACGGTTGAAAAACTTGCACTTACAACTTCAGCTCCTTCTTGCTGAAGAATGCTAATGACTTCATATAACATGAAGTTTTTATTCAATCCAGTTATTAAAACCACTTCAATGCTAGACCCCAAGTCTTTTAATTCAACCACCGGCAAACTTAAACCGCCAACCGGTTCAGTCGTTTTCATTATACTGCTGCTGCTGCTGCTTGCTTCCATTGATTTCATCACTTGTTCTTTGATCTCCTTTAATTTCTCTGTTCTTTCTCTCAAATGCTTTATGTAGGCAGCTGCAAGATCAAGCTGATCTTGTTGTGATACATTTTCCTGAAAATCCCAATTTACAAATGCTTTTTTGGGTAAATAATAGCACAAAAATGGAATGAACTAGGACATGCTTCAAGCCCGCCCTGGTTATTTTCGGTGACGTGGAGAAACAGTGAACAATGGGAGGCAAATCAAGAGTGAAGATATTTCAACGAAATATGTCAGAGAAGGACAGGAAAACGAAAAATTCGTCTTTTATGTCATCCATATATACTCCATACTCTGTAATCTAAGTGGTGGATAGAATTAAAAGACAACATTTACTTGCTGATAAATATCAGTTCCTCCTAATTAAAAATGCTATTTCTCGGTGTTGGCTGTCTCACTCTCTATGGCTTTAGAGTTAAAGGTCGAGGAAAGTGAGATAAGCGGATGATTGTGACTATATGGAGCTTCTTTCATAATTACTACTGGTGCTGTTAATAATTGAAAATACTTATTGAAATTAAAACAGCAGGAAAAGAATCCTTGAAAAATGAGCAAGGAAAATGAAAATTTTTAGGAGACGTAGAAATGACATGGAGTTGGATTCCATAAAACTTGATAAGGATGTTGGAAAGTTGATTAGAAAATAGGTGTTGTATCAATAGGATTTTCAACATTAATACATTACTATATATATGCTGACTGATAAAAATGTGTATTTTTGTTTTCTTTATGTAGGAATCAAGTAGCATATATAGGGAGGATTGGAGAAGTTAATGATTAGAAAAAAAAATTTTATATAAAAGTGTTGTAATTTAAAAATAAAAAAAATCTCTTAATATTTGAATTCCAATTTTACTAAATGTTAAAAATAATATAAATCAACTTATCTTACCTCCGAATTCGGTTAAAAAGATTATTAAGTAGTTAGAGAGAAAGAAACAATTAGTCAAATTATCTGATTTTGCTGCCAGACTGACTGCAATTAAATGGACATTGTCAATTGTATTATATATGCATTCACGAATGAGTACTCAATGCTCCAAGCTCTTCAGCAAAGAATTTCATAAGTAGGAAATCATCATCTTTCTTACTAATGGAAAAAATAAGTAACTGGAAAGACCAAATTCAACAACCCAGAAATCAAATGACTGAATTAAACAAGTCAAGTACTCATGACTGAAGACTGATGAATGGTGAAAAAGAAAGAATGGAGAGAATAACTGTGTATATATATATATAATACCTTAGAGGTTTTGAAGTAGTGATGAGGAATAAGAGAAGCAAGCCCAAAGCACAAAGTATTCATGTGAATTCTACGGTTCCTCTCGATGGTTTTCCTATCAGGTTTTGAAGTCGAGTCACCACCATGGCTGTTCCTCTCCATCTCTCTAGCTAGCTTTCTTTCCTTTCCAGTCCTCTTGATAGCCAGCCCAACAAGCAAATACAGAGACAAATACTGTCGAGAATCCCTTACAAATACAGAGATGATTAGACTGGCTGACAAATATATATCACACACGCCAAAGGGCAATGGTATTTTTTGTGATTAAAGGCTTTGATGTCAAAATGGACAGCTCTTATTCATACTCATTTTGGCTAGCTTTGTGGATATTGTATATTATTCCATTCTTCAAAAAAAAAAAAAAAAGAAAGAACGAGTAAAAAGGAAACGTCCCAGGAAAGGTTTAGGCCTTTCGCTCATGTCATGTCTGGTCAGCTTCTGTGTTGTCAAAGCAGTGGGGACAATCAACTCAGATTTTGGTCCTTTTCCTTAATTAGCACTAGTTTTGTCAAAGTTAACTGTTAACAGATGTTTCTCCATTCTTAACAGGTAGGCCAGCTCTTGTTAATCTTAAGTTGACCCTTGACCTTTTTGATTGCTCGTGCCCCTGATGCGCCGCAACGATCCATTTTCCCCGGGTTACCACCGACCACTTTTTTTATCACTGTTATTTTATTTTTATTTTTTTTACATAAGAAGATGTAATTTTAAAATAAAAAATTATAAGTATTAAAATTCAAAATTTAAAATTTAAAATCATTAAATATTATTTATTTAAAATAATTATATAACTCAATGGAATTAAATTTTAATTTTTTTTGTTAATTTACTTGCTAAACAAACATCCTTATTCATTTTTGTTTTCAAAGCCCCTTATTCATTAATTACTGTTTTATTTATTTTTTACTAAAAAAGCAATAATTGATGCATAGGAAAAAGCATTGCAAGTGCAAGCGGTTGAATTTTAAATTTTTTAAATATTAATTTTTAAAAATAATTATATGAGTTAAATGGATTAAGTATGGACTTTAATTATTGTTTTATTTTTAAAAATATATTATTAATTAATATTCAGATTTTCAATTTACTTTTATTGTTTAATTTTCGACAATTTAAAAAAAATATATGCATACTCTACCCCCATGATATTTGAGCTATATATGTATAATGCATGGATAGTCTTCATTCTTTCATACAAGTTATTACTACTCTTTTAAAGATTTACTGATGTGAAAATAGATTTTTAAAAAAATTTTTTTTTGGACCCAATATAATATGGCTTTTCTTCCCATTCAAATTTGCTACTTGTATTTAAGATTAGCCATGCAATTTCTACCTTTGATAATCAATATGATTGAGAGGGAAAAAAATTTTGTTGACATTGTAGTAGCCATAAAAATATACAGCATTTAAACTTAACTGCCGCAATTAAGAATTCAACTGGATTAAAACGTTAAATCAAAGCTTTTTTTTTTTTCCTTAAATCCCATGAAAATCAAATGTGGACAACCGATATGAAATGAAGAATGAAGGGAGTAATAATTTTTAGTACCAAAAAAATATATAAAAAAACTAAATTTAGTCTTTGAATAAGAAGAACAATTTTGACATTTAGTGCCATTATGAATTCAAACTTTCATTTCAAGTGACGCATCAATTAGGAATTTTCAAGTCATATCAATACAGTAGAATATCTATAATCTATAACAATATCTTAAATTGAGTTTTTTTTCTTTTATTTATTTTCCTTGAAACCTCAATTAAGGTTTTAATGGTTACCATTTGGCCATCAACTGTTTCAGTTTTTTTTTTAAAGAATCATAAATAAAAAAAATCAAGCAAAAAAACTTTTACAAAATCCTAAAATCACAAAAAATAATAAAATATCATCAAAATGTCAATTAAAAAAGTAAACTAAAAATCTACACTAACTGTCATAACATATAAAATTATAAATTTATAGCTAGACTTAACAAATGAATGGAGTGGCCACTAATCTTTTTTACTGGGTGTGATTGACCACCTAAGGAATCTATTTTCTTAAGGAGCTCCTAAGCTTGATTGAAGGTACCTAAAAGAATAGATTCGGGTTTACTAATCAGAATAAGGTTCGGGAGTTCGGTTACATGTAGAGAAGGTTATAGTACCCTCACATACCCATCCAAAGGATGGACCATATTATTTTAAATTTATTCTAAGGTCTTAAGTCTAATGGTTTCAAATTTTTATATTAAATATTGAAAATAATTCTTAAGATTCTCACATCATTCTGGTAGAACTCTTAAAAATATTTTCTTATATCAAAAGTATTTAAGGATCCCATTTGTTTCATTGAAGAGGCTCCGTCATTGGAAAAAGATTTATTTATTATCTTTTGTCGAAAATATATCTAATTATTCCACCATTTTGATCAAATTAAAAATATTTTCTCTTTTTTAATTTTTAAATTCTCTCATTTGGGCCTATTTAAAATTTTTTTTTATTTTTTTATCTCTAAATTTTTCACCATTTGAGTCAATTTAGAAAAAAAAAAATTTCAAAATTTCTAAATTTTTCACAATTTAGGTCTATTTAGAAATTCTTTTTTTTTTGGAAAAAAAATAATATGATAATTATTTTTTATTGAAATTTCATTTAAATTATTCCACCATTTGGGACAAATTTAAAAATAATTTCTCACCTAAAGATTTCTTAGGAATTTACTATTTGAAATTTTTGAGAATTTCATCCTTGTTTAATTATCAAATATTTTCAACCCAAATTTTTATTTTTTTATTTTTTATTCTTTTTTGATTGAAAATAAATATTTATTATTGTTATTGAAACTTTATCTAAATTATTCCATCATTTAGGATAAATTTAGATAAAATTTCTCACCTAGGAATTTTATAAAAATTTACTATTTGAAATTTTTATAAATTTCATCATTGGATAATTAATATTTATTCTCAAAATTTATTTTTTTTTTAAATTTAATGATGAAAGAAAAAAAAAAGAAAAAAACCTAAAAAAATACTAAATAAAATAAATAAAAAATAACAAAGAAAAACAAAAAAAATGGCTCAGATGGCGGTTGGAATTCGACTTGGCTACAGATACAGGAAGAGGATGGAACGATGTGGCTCGGGGCATGGCTCGCGACTCAGCTCGACTTGAGTAAAAGGTTGGAGACGGGTTAAAAGGCAAGTTGCGCTTCGGGTCGAGTCGCCATGCAATAAAACACACGGATCCTGGGTTGAATTAAAACGCCAAAACAACATTGTTTTGGAGCCACTATAAAAGGCTAAATCTCAGTCTTTTTCCTTAGATTCCACTTTCTTTTTCTCTCCCTTTCCCTTTCTTTTCTCTTTTTCTCTCTCTAGAACCAGATGAATTTTGGTTGAATCTCCTCCGGATTCTAGAAAACGTCACTGGAATCTGGGTTGGTTCCCAAAAAGTTCACGAAAAATTCAACCAATGTCTAAAAATTTCGTCGAAATCTAAAAATTTTCCAAAAAATTTCCAAAAAAAAATTTTTTTCTCAAAAAAACTAAAAAAAATTTTCTCTCTATTTGCTGTGTTTCTATGTTTTTTTTTTTTTTGTGAGTGGCTTATGTCATTCTTAACACTTTTTTTTTCTTCTATTTTTTCTGTGATTTTTTCTGTGATCTTTTTTGTGCTGTTGTGTTTCTGTTTCTGTGTGGCTGTTTATTTATAGAACTAGATCAGAAGAATTTTTGATTAATTGGGAGTCCCCATTTTGATTGGATTTTCACATCATCAAAAAGCCTGAGAATTATCCTAGAGAGATTGAAACCAATTGCAATTTTGCTAGTGCCTATGCACAGCAAAATTTGTATTTTTTTCTTTTTCTTTTTTTTAAAAATAATATCTTATTATCTTAAAATAAAATAAATAATAAAAACTTAAAATAAAATAAATAATAAAATGTCAAAATAGAAATAAAATAAATAACAAACAGTTAGGCCTAACTACTTGGGCCCATTGAATTGAGCCCCAATGGCTTAGGCCTAAACCTTGTTGGATCAAGCCCAATGGGATTGGGCTCAGACCAATTAGGCTGTCTACAGTTGCCTCTCTTTGCACATTTTCTGTGAAACAAGAATTGTGCAAAGATGTAGACTCCCAATCAAGACTCAACTCGACACTTCTCTTTTTTTTTATTTTTGTTTTTTTTAAACAAAGCTCATATAAACAGAGGCTTAATGACTTTGTAAAAAAATAAATGCTCCTCTAAATAGAGGCACCACAACTTTTGAAAAGTAAATTGCTCCTCTAAATAGGAGCACCACAACTTTGAAAAAATAAAATGAACCTCTAAACAAAAACACCACAACTTTTGGAAAAATAAATTGCTATTCTAAACAGAGGCACCATAACTTTTGGAAAGTAAATGCTCATATAATCAGAGGCACCACAACTTTTGAAAAATAAATGCTCATATAATCAGAGGCACCACAACTTTTGAAAAATAAATGCTTTTTTAAACAAAGGTACCATAACTTTTGAAAAATAAAAGGCTCATTGATAATTATGTCTAGAGGAGTCATAGATTAGATCTAATGAAATTTGTATTGAAAACTCAAAGATTTACAATTTGAGTTCAAAAATCAAAGGTTCAGATTTGTAAGAACCTTTCAGCGTTGCAAGAATTTACTAAAATTTTATTCTCAAAATTTCAGTTTCATAAGGATTCAAATTGCAAGATCTCAAGATTCGCATTTGAAAATTGTAAGATTCGCATCCAACATTTAAAGATTCTCATTTGAATTTAGGAGATTCACATCCAAAAGTTCAAAGCTTCTCATTCGAGTCCAAAGGCTCACATTTGACAAATTTTAGGGTTTCACCCCTTAAAGATTCTCATTTGAGTTTGAAGATTAATATTCAATAAATTTTAGGTTTCACACTTCAAAGATTCTCATTTGAGTTTGAAGATTCACATTCGATAAATTTTGGGTTTCACACCTCAAAGATTTTCATTTAAAATTCAAAGATTCTCATTTGAGTTCGAAGATTCACATTCGATAAAATTTGGGTTTCACACTTCAAAGATTCTCATTTGAGAACTTAAAAATTCTCATCAAAAGATTCCCAATTTCTTTTTCAAGTGACTCAAAATTGTGCATATAATGAATGTCATGATTAATAATGCAAAGGTTTTCTCAATGATGCAAATGTAACAATCTAGATTCTCACAATGCCTTATTCAAATGCTTGTTGGCTGATGCATGTCCAAACAAAGTTTTAATTCATCGAATTATGTGCATGTACTGTTCAAACAATAATGCCAACATAATGCATGGAATGTGAATGTCAATAATGTCATGAAATCCTAAATAATTGTGGTCATATGGTTCTCAAGAC